CCCCCCCCCCCCCCCCCCCCCCCCCCCCGCCCCACCCCGGGTCTCAGCGGGCCGAGTGTGTGACATTTGTGTGTCTATCTCTGGGATAGCGCTGTCTCCCTCTCGGTGTGAACTGCCTCATCTGCCTTTCTCTCTGTTTTTCATTTCCCTTCTTTCCTTTGACTGACTCTGCTGTTTGCATATTGAGGGAAAAGGCTGCTTCATTTGTGAAGCGGCCTTATTTGATGACTCCTTTTGCAAGCACACAGCGTGGAACGCTCTTGAGGGGGGCGGTAAGAGCAGGAAGGGAGAAGACAGGCCCGGACAGGCCGACTGGATTCATCATCCTTCCTTCAGAAGGCTGTGAATTTTCAGAAGATATGAGGGGCAAGTTTGAGGTTCACAGACACGCGGGGGCTTTTGTGCGTCACCTGGGCCTTCGGTGACCCGTATGTGGAGCTGCGGCCGGCCACTGGCATTGTCTGGAGAGCAGCCTTGAACCGGGAAGCCTCTAGCCTGTAACCCAGTGCTGTCCAATAGAAATATAATGCAAGCCACAAATGTGAGCCACATATGGCATTTGGAATGTTCTGGTGGCCACATTAAAAAGGTAAAAAGAGGGGCGCCTGGGTGGCGCAGTCGGTTAAGCGTCCGACTTCAACCAGGTCACGATCTCGCGGTCCGTGAGTTCGAGCCCCGCGTCAGGCTCTGGGCTGATGGCTCAGAGCCTGGAGCCTGTTTCCAATTCTGTGTCTCCCTCTCTCTCTGCCCCTCCCCCGTTCATGCTCTGTCTCTCTCTGTCCCAAAAATAAATAAACTTTGACAAAAAGGTAAAAAGAAACAGGTGAAATTAATTTCAACAACATATCCTATTTAGCCCAGTTTATCCAAAGTATTATCGTTTCAACATGTAACCGAGAAAAAAGATTATTAACGAGATATTTTACATTCTTTTTTTGGAACCAAGTCTTTGACCTCCGGTGTGTGTTTTAGGCTTTACAGTACCTCTCAGTTTGGACTGGCCGCATTTCGGGTGCTCCATAGCCACACGTGGTAGGGGTTGCCCAGTCGGGCGGCGCCGGCCTCGCCTAGCCAAGCCCCGGGGCCCGGAACCTCGGTTTGGGCCGCGTGAGTGGCCGCGATGTTAATTAGCCCTCCGTATGTATGTATTCTTCCCATAACCATCATTAGTAGTCGTCATTAATTACGGATTCAGTAGCCACCACCACGTGTGGCTGTGGAGGACCCGAAATGGGGCCAGTCATTCATTATCAGTGTGCTGGCCTCGCTTCCAATTCGAGCAGCGCCCCGTACTGGGGGGATCGCTGACCCACATTCCGTCACTTGGGGGAGCTGAGGGCGGGGTGTCCAGGTACTTTAGGCCTGCCCCCCCACCCCCCAGCTAGGGCCTCACCTCCTGGGTGCGTGTTCCCCCTCCTTGCCTTAGGTCCCAGGCACCCCTCCGGCCTTCCCCTTCTATATATAGTGCGCAGTGGTGACAGCTGGTCATCTGATGAGTCATCAGTCACTGTGGGCGTCTCCTGATGGAACCCTGAACATTTATTCACAGGGCGTTTTTGGCAGCCTCCGAGTTCCTCCTAGTAAGTGCTGGCTTTTGGAGGTTGGTCTGAAAAAACCACACGAAGAAGATCGCGGAGTTTGATTAAGCAGTGGGCCCCCCAGGTGAAGGCCTCTGGGTGCTTGGCGGCGAACCGAGGCTTTCTCTGGAGCTTTTGCTCTCCCCGCAGCCATCATCCTGGCTCCCTCTATACCCGGCGGGCCCCAGATCGCTGCTGGCAGTGTGGCCCAGAGGTGTGGACTCCTTTGGGAAGAGGCAGAGGGCTCCCCGGAGGAGAGCGCGCAGCCCCCTCTCGTTTCCGTGGCATGTCAGGGACTAAATGTTCGCTTTGGAGCTAGCAACACTTGGGTTTCATCTGAGCCGCTCCGCTCACCCGCTCTGCCACCCTGGGTAAGTCCCTTCTGAGCGCCGCCGGCTTCCGCTTCCTCCTCCGTGCAACGAGCTCAATACCAGCGAGGACCAGATGAGAACTGTCTGTTCCGCGCGTACCCACAGTCGCTGTTGTTATTGCCAGCCCGCGGGCCCCATGACTTCCATTTCCCCAGAAGCAGACCCTCAGATGAGGATTTCCACGGAAGTGATTTCTTAAGGCTGGGCTCCCAGCAGATACCTGGAAGGGGGGGTGGGGGGTGGGAAGAGGTCAATTTCAGACCAAGTGCCACGGCTCAGTCTTAGTCAGACTGCGGGGGGGGGGGGGGGCTCTGGAGGGTGGGTCACACTTCAGAGTCTATCCTGCCTCGGGGCAAGAGAGCTGCGCTGTCATGCTCCTTGACTGGCTAGGGGCTACTGTGAGACAGGGGGCCAGAAACGCCCAGATACTTTTGGTTCAATGACAGTGAGCTGCTCCAGGGCAGGCCTCCCGAGAGTCGCAAGTGCAGGCTGTCAGAAGTTGGGGGAGGAGCTCTTGTGATCAGTAGAGGGGACCCGAGGGGTCTGTCTCTCTCCTGTCATCAGTGGCCAGCAGCCCTGCACAACCCAGAGTGGGGTCAGGGAAGGGGAAGGTGGTCAGGGTCAGGAGCAGTTGTGGCGCCCAGGCCTTTCCCCTGGCACCTGGAGGCAGGACTGCCGCTTCTGGCCAAGGCCTGGGGGCACCAGACACAGACTCTAAGTCTCCTCTGCCTCCAGCCCATGAAGGGTCTCTGCTTCAGACCCGCATCCAGCAGGGCCCCAGGGCTCTGTCCAGCTCCCGCCCTCCCTGCCCCAGGCCGCCTGCTCTTTTTCCCATCAACCCACTTCCTGCTTCCTTCCCACCTCCTTTTCTCCGCCTCTCTGGACCTGTAGCAGCTCGGCCTGAAGGCTTCCACAGGGGCCTCATCGTGCAGCCCCCAGGGCCCTCTCTCTCTCCTTTGCAACCCACCGAACCTTCTGTGCCCTATACCCGGACGGCGATGTGGGGTCTGGAGTCCAGGAAGATGATTTTACCACTGCCCTGTTCTTGGTGCAGCTGGGGTTCTATTTATCCCTGGGGTAGGAATTTGACTTCCTGGTTTTTCTATCCCAATGGAATTCGGTCCCTTCCCCTCTTTTCCCTTCCTCTCCGTTTCTCCCTTTCCCCTCTCCCTTCCCTTCCCCTTCCCCCTTCTCTTTCTCTCCTGCCCCATCTTTTCCCTACCCATTTCCCGTTTTGTCCCATCCCCTCCTCTCCTCCCCTCTTCCCTTCCCTCTTCTTTCTCTTTTTCCTCTTCTCTCCCTTCCTTTCTTCCCTTCTCCCCTCTCCCACCCCCAGCCCCCTTGGTCTGTCCCTCCTTCTCTCCCTCTTTCTCTCTCTAACGCACGCACACACACACACACACACACACACACACAGCTTGGCTGTCCTCAGGGTGGCAGTGACCCAGGTGAGAAGGAAGGATGGGTGGCTGTGTGGGAGAGGACTCACGAGCCCACAGGTACGCAGCAGGCAGGGGCACACACAGCTAGGGTAACAAGAAGCCAAGGGCGTCATTCCGGACCTCAGTTACCCGCCCTGCCAAGCACTTTCACTGCAGTGGTGGTCATTATTATTATCGGCGTTTTACTTTAAAAAAAAAAAAAGAAAAATCCCTTAAGCACGGTCCAGCGAATCGCACCCATTTCTCTGGTAGCAGCGGGATTGGAAAAGGGTCATTCAGACAAGGGTTCTTTGAAAAGCTTGCAGAAATTCGATTTCGCTATTTAAAAATAAAAATACAGTTTCTTTCAGTTGCTCACTCATTTTCCCTCGCGTGGCTGTCGCTTATGAAACGTTGGTTTTGTAGCCTCACGTCCAGTCAGCGGCAGCCCCGCGATTCCGTGGAGCCGGGAGTCGCAACACTTCCGAGGAGATAACGTATGTTCTCTTGGAATCTCACGAGGGGGACCAGAGTCCGAGAGCCACGTGGCAGCCTTAACGGTGACCCTGCACATGCCAAGAGCATAGTCTCCGGCTGACGTGGCCACCCATTGACCCGGGGCGCTGCTTCGCAATGTTCCCTATAAGTAAGTGCTTCCGTCCGCGTGAGCCCCCGCCCCCCATGAATGGTGTCCTGGTAACTTAAGGTGGGCCAGCCTCTGCGGCTAAGCGCTAAGCTCCGCTGAGGTCAGAGTTGCGGGGTGTGGTGCCCACAATTCCTGGCAGTTAACCTCACACAAAAGGAAAAATGCTCTCCTGGGCACAAACAGCCCCACCTTGCCTGCTCATGGGCAATTTGGTCGTTGTTTTCCATTAGTCACAAAGGGGAGGGGCGGGGGGGGGGTGGGCAGGGAGTTCAGTGCTGACAGTCATTGCGAACCCATGGGCAGAAAACCGAAAATGCATTGCCTTCTAAGGCACCCTGCTAAGTGCCGGCCTCGGGGTGGTCTTTGGTGAAACTCCACATGGAACACAGACGAATAGATGGACCATCCACAAATCACTTGTTCTTGACCCTTGAACTCCTTTGAGAAGATCGCTTTTCGAGCGGGGCCACTTTTACCCCCAAGGTAGATTCCTCCAAGAGCCAAGGGAAGGCTCCTTCCCCCAGAATGTAGGGCCCTTTGCCTGAGCTTCTCCCTGGCTGGCAGAGTGGGCAGGGCCCACAGCGAGCACAGCCCGCACTGGTGCCCCCAACTACGACTGTTAGGATTTTGGTGGGGTAGATGGCCCAGCTTCCTCGGCCTTCGGGTGGACCGAGCTGAAGCATGTTCCACACTGTCAGTCATAAGTGTCCCACAGCTGAGGCGCCTGGGTGGCTCCGTCGGTTAGGCGTGTGTCTTTTGGTTTCGGCTCAGGTCATGATCTCAGGGTCGTGAGTTTGAGCCCTGCACCGGGCTCTGCGCTGGCAGCGTGGAGCCTGCTTGGGATTCTCTGCCCCTCCCCTACGTGTGCGCGCGCGCATGTGCTCTCTCTCAAAATAAATAAACAACATTTAAAAAATAGTCCTTATCACCATCTGTAAGTATGCACTGCCATGTTTATTTGGTTTTTCAATTTTTAAAAGTTTTTTTAGAAAGGGAGAGACAGAACGAGTGGGGGAGAGGAGCAGAGGGAGAGAGAGAGAGAGAGAGAGAGAGAGAGAGAGAGAATCTTAAGCAGGCTCCCATGACCTTGGGATCATGACCTCAGCTGAAATCAAAAGTCAGAAGTCAGACGCTCAACCCAGTGAGCCACCCAGGCGCCCCTGTGTGTTTCTTTGTTTAATATCAGTGTCCTCTAGGGGTGCCTGGGTGGCTCAGTCGGTGAAGCGTCCGACTTCAGCTCAGGTCACGATCTCACAGTTTGTGAGTTCGAGCCCCGCGTCAGACTCTGTGCTGACAGCTTGGAGCCTGGAGCCTGCTTTGGATTCTTTGTCTCCCTCTTTCTCTGCCCCTCCCCCACTCATGCTCTGTCTCTCTCTCTCTCTCTCTCTTTCTCTCTCTCTCAAAAATAAACATTAAAAAAAATAAAAAAAATCGGTCTCCTCTAGTAGAGTGCAGGGTACTGAGGGCAGAGACAAAGTGTCTATTTTGTTCACCTGCTAAATCCTTACACGTGACCCAACCCAGGGCTTCACGTGTTGTGCACAAGCCCATGCAAGATAAATTCTCTTGAAGGAATGAATGCAACAGCCTTAAGGGAGACAGCGCTTTCCCCTTAGTGGTGGTTTTAAAACACGACCCGTTGTCCGATACCCCTTTTAATGAGAGGTGCGGTCTATCTCTCCTCCCCTCGAATCTGGATGGGATGATGACAGCTTCAAACGAAAGTATGGCAGCGCCGGCTCCTAAAAGGCCAAGTAGCTTCTGCGTTGAGCCCTGAGTGGCTGTCACGTAAGAGCTCTGATCACCCTGAGGCGGCCATGCAGTGAGGAAGCCCAATTCTCATAAAGAGGCCACATGTGGGCGCTCAGATGAACAGTCCCGGTGAGCCCAGACTTTGAGTCACTTCGACCCAAGTGGCCAGACGCGCGAGCGAAGGGTGATGAGCGCAGTCCCCCCAAACGTTCACATCTTTTCCACTGAGACCTCAGACATCGTGGAGCAGAGACACAAGGCATCGGTGCTGTGTCCCGCCCAAATTCCCAGCCCCTGGAGAGCCAGAGCACAAAGAAGATGGTTTGTGAAGCTGCTACATTTTGAAACTATTTGTTATGCAGAAATAACTGAAGCACCCTTACTGCAAATGTATCAACTCTGCACCCCTTCGGCCATCACTTATCAAGCTCCTACTATGTGCCAGCGCCCGGAAGGGTGGGGTGGGGTGGGGTGGGGGGGGGGGGGGGTTGGGGGGGCAGAGGAAACATCCCTACCTTTTGGGAACTTACAGAT